GTCCCCTGGCTGCCCCTGTGTGGGGAGGTGGCAGATAAAACCCCCCCCCCTCTGCTACAGCCCTTTCTGTCACCCCACCCTGGGACTCAGCACTGCCGGCTGCTCTGGTCCATGGCCACCTTCCCTCCCCATCCCAGCCCTCTGTGCCCCCAAACCCCACATTGCCAGCCAATCCAGGCTGTGCATGCAGTGACTTGGGGGGAGAGACTTGCGAGTGGCAGACCCCAATCAGTGTGACTGTGAGCCCCGGGGGTTTGGGGTTGGCAGGCCAGGAGAGCCTTGGCAGCCGGGGTAGGCCGGGGGGTTGGTACAGGGCAGGAGGGTGCTGGGAGGCAGCATGGGGCCAAGTGGGGAACTGGCAGGACAGGGAGGGGTCAAAGCACAGTCTGGCCTGAAGTGCTTTATACTGCACTTTTCAAAATGCATCCATTCCAAGTGAAGCTTGTGAGCTCTCCAGCAGGGGGAGGGGGCAGCAGTCCGGGGAACGGGACTAAGGCAGGACAGAGGAGGGTGTTGGCGGGGGATGGTACACAGCAGAGGTTGGAGGAAGCCTGGGTTCATAGACAAGGCTGTTCTGAGACTTGGGGTCAGCTCCCGGCTCTGCCGCAGACTACAGTGTTTCTATGTCCCCGTTCTGAAGCTGTACCATGGGATTGATGAACCTTTGTCTCCCAGTCCTCCTCTAGGTCAGACTCTTTGGGTCAGGGACTCTTTGAGGCCACATTGTGCAGGGCCCAGCACAAATCTTAGGACCTCCGGGCACCTGCCTGATGGAGGTATGGCAGAACTGCTTGTGAAGAGGATGCCTTCCTGCCCACGGTGTGGGCATTTCCTGCATGGTTTAGCATAAGGAACAAAATAGCATTTCAGGGAAGAAAGAGACTCTATGAAAAACAAGCAGTCTTTTGATCCCTTTAGGAGACTCTGGAAAATTCCCACTTCAAAGCCAGAGGAAAGGGGACGTTAAATCTATTGTGGCTTGTGTTAAGTGAGAAGTTTAGGATGGTGGTGGGGGACGGCCCAAAAGCGAGTTAATTTTGTGTGCTTGAAATCGCTGCTTCTGGGCTCAGCCCTTTGACGTGTGAGTTATAAACAGAGTGCCAGTTCCTCCTGGTGGTAATCTCACTTTGTAGCTACTTTAACACCTTCCTCTTTCTTGCGAGTGCCCGAAGACGCACCAAAGGTTCTGTGAGTTTCTGCGGGAGTGTTTCCAGTCGTTTGACTGAAAGTTTCTCTGGGGAGCAGAGGGTGAATTGAATGGCAGTGAGGTCTGTCATGGGTTTAGCTGCCTCTCCGGTCTGCCTGGTGTGGTGGAGAAGGGTGTAGGTCATCTGATTGGAAGTGCCAGTGTCACTTTTAAAGGTTATAAAATAAAATGTCAGTCAGGAGGCAGAGAGACATACTGGGTAGCAATGTTCCCTCTAACCTTTAACATCCATGTGCAGAATAATTTTATGTGCACCGAGGCATGTGGGAATGTGCACCACCAGGAGAAACAAAACACCTAGCTATGGGCGCTCTGCTAATTAGCTGGTCAGCATCGGAATCTCTCCTGAGTCGCTTACAGCTGGGTAGGGGACACCAACTGGGAATAGGAGACCTAGTGCTGCAGATGACTTGGTGGCTGACTTCAGGCAAGTCATGTCGCTGCTCCGTGCCTCAGTTTCCCCATCTGTAAAAGGGGTCTTGCCTCCTTTGTGAAGTGCTTCGAGATCTATGGATGAAAAGTGCGAGCAGAACTTTGCCTTGCATGAAGGGTCCACACGAGCCCCAAATGTTGTCTGGTCACACAAGTTGGTGACTGTAGCATAGTGATTTTTAATGTAAGTCACAGGCAAGTCATGTCGCTGCTCCGTGCCTCAGTTTCCCCATCTGTAAAAGGGGTCTTGCCTCCTTTGTGAAGTGCTTCGAGATCTATGGATGAAAAGTGCGAGCAGAACTTTGCCTTGCATGAAGGGTCCACACGAGCCCCAAATGTTGTCTGGTCACACAAGTTGGTGACTGTAGCATAGTGATTTTTAATGTAAGTCAC